AGGGGCCAGAAATTAACTACCTAATTATCGAGAAGCTGGTGCTCGCCTTAATCTACGTAGCACGACGACTTCGCTGATATTTCTAGGCCTTCAAGATAGAGGTGTTAACCAGCTGCCCAATCAAGCAGGTACTCTTAAAACCATAGGCATCTGGATGCCTTATAAAATGGGCTATAGAACTAGGAGAGAATGACATTAGCTACCACCCTAGTGTGAGCATCAAATGACAAGCACTAGCAAACTTCCTGTTGGAAATCCCAAGGGAGCTCCAGCAGGAAATGACAGATGCCACCCAATGAAGGCACTCAAACGAGAATACCAATCAGCAGTGGACCCTCTACACGGATGAAGCTTCTAGAAAGGAAGGCTCAGGAGCGGGTTTGATCCTGACCAGCCCCACACGCCAAGAAATCACGTACACCCTACACTTCGACTTCTACACCTCCAACAATGAGGCCGAATACAAAGCCCTGTTAGCCGGTCTAAGGTTGGCAGTAAAAATAGGGGCGGAAAGGATAGTAGCCCTAACCGACTCACGCCTGGCAACCAACCAGGTCATTGGAGAATTTGAAGAGAAGGATAAATGAATGGAGAAGTATGCCAAAGCAATCCAACGAATCACAAGCCCACTTAAGAGTTTCGCCATAAAGCATATTTTGAGGGGAAGCAATAGTAAGCAAACTTCCATCAACATGTTTTGGCCATCTCTCTAAGGAGGTTCTAGTAGAAGTGCTAAAAGAAAGGAGCATCTACAAACACCAAGTTCACTCTCTATCCACGGCACGACCCAGCTGGATGACACCTATTATAGACTATTTACAGCACAACATACTTTCTAACGACCATGGGGAGGCACATAAAATAAGGATACGGGCTCCTCAGTACGCATACTTGGAGGAGCATTATATAGAAAAGGCCACACAACCCCTTGGCTCAAATGCATTGACAACAAGTCAGGGTAAAAGGCCGTCCAAGAATCCCATGTGAGATCAGCCGGAGCCCACGAGGGGGCAAGGGCACCAACAACCAAGATACTACGCACGGGGCTCTACTGGCCAGACATACACCAGGATGCCACCAAATTAACCCAAGCATGCGTGGAGTGCCAGACCTTTTCTCCAATTGAAGGCGTACCCCTGACCAAGTTATGAAGCATAGTTATACCATGGTCATTCTACCAATGGGGGATCAATGTAACATACACGTTTTAAAATCGTGTTTTGTAATGAATAAAATTGTGAAATATTATGTAAAATTGAGTGTTGAGTTCTAATAGATGGTTTTTACTAGAAATGAAGTAAAACTATGTTTAGAATCACTCAAAAAATATTAGAAGTCTTATGAGATTCCAATTAAAAGCCAAATAGTGAAATTTAGCGAAAATATGAAATTTTAAATAAGTAAAATTTTATTATTTGATGTTGTAGGGAATCTCTTTAGAAATTTGTAGGCGAAAACCTCGTCAAAATCTGAGTTATAACGAAGAAGTTATGACCAACCGAAGATCCGTGACAAAACCGGCACGGCACCGAATGACGTAAAAAGTGAGTTTTTGATAAACTAATTTTTACCCTTAGTCATCTAAATGAAAGTCGTAGTATTCGTTAAACCGAGAAATTCGATAAAAAGAACGCCAAAATATGACTTTGTATGAGTAAGTTATGATTTTTCGAAGTTTCAACTTAGCAGTAGACAGCTAAAAACTCGAATTTTAGATCGAGCGATATTTTACCGATACATCCTAAACGAGAATCGAAGGTCTCGTCATATGTAGTACAACGGTAAAAAGTCTGACGAAAACGGATGACGGATGAAGAAGTTATGAATTTTTAACGGATTTTCCTATCCCGGTCTGTTAAAAATAATAATATTAAAAATAAAGTCAAAATTAGCCGACGAAGTCAAAACGAAAGTTGTAGAGCGTAATATTAGTTACGCATGCATATAAAGAACGTCAAAAACGGAGCTGGTATGCGAAAGTAAGGATTTTAGAAGTTCGGGGCCCGAAAATCGAAAAATTTCGCATGAATAGTAATCGGCCACGTCACCTCGCACGAAGCAGGTGCGTCACCGGAGACGTGGCCTCGCCTCGCAATGCCGCGTGTCGCTTAATGATTCGACCGAAGTGAGTTCCAAGGACATTCCGACGCGCCTCGATGCGGTGTCCGAGTCTCGCCCCTCCACGTCATGCTTATCCGCCTCGCAGTCGAACCTCGCATCCGAGCCTCCCCTCTCGCGCCACCTGCTTCGCTCCGCTGCTGCCACCAAGCCCTTCGCTGCTTAAGCCAGCTCCGAACCTCGGCCCTATATAAAGAGGAACTGCGAGATCTTCCGACTAACTTTAAAAATTTGCCACTTTTAGCCCCTCTTTCCATATTTTCTTCATTTTGACTTTCCCCGAAGCCCCGAAATCAATTTTTGCACCCGAAACACGTCCCGAGACCCCCGAGAAGCCCGGAAATTTTATTTTTTCGGTTTTGAAGACCTACCTTCGCAGAGCCCGGTTTTCAATTAAACTCATGGTTTTCAACATAGAAAGACATATTTAAAGCTGAAGTGCTGTCCAAATTACTATTTTAACCCCCGATTAACTTAAGGTGAGTTCAATATATAGGAACAATTGTATGTTATGTGTTATATGTGCTTTGTGCTTTTCAGTATTTTCATTCTGAGTTATTTTCTCGTGTTATTCGCTATGTTTATAGCAATTGTAATACCTTTGACCATGTGATCAGTGAATGGACTTTGATTCACATTGGTACTGGTACGTAGCCTCTGGCCGTGTAGAGCATGTATCCGTAAGAGAATGACTTCTATTCTATGGCATTGGCAAATCGTTAGGCAGGACTATAAGCCTGAAATCTAACAAGAGGTTAATCAGAAGTTGCATGTCTTCTATGCCATTTGGGCCAAAGCTTTATTGATGTATATCAAGAATTGAAAAAGAATATCTTTGAATAATCTCTTTGATTGATATGAACGCTTGTCACATGATCTCACATACATCTTGGTGTTCCTCTTTGCTTTGCCACTTGAAGTATATATATGGCATAACATTATATTGTATCTATTTTTGAACTCACTAAGCATCACCGCCTACCCTATCAATGTTTAACAATTGCAGGTGATAAATAACTAGTATGTTTACATACTATTGAAAGATGTATAATAGTTTGTAATAGTACTTTTGTACTACTTTTTATGTTTGTATAAATTACAATATCTTGGGTAGTTATGTAATATATATATATATATATATATATATATATATATATATATATATATATATATATATATATATATATATATATATGTATATATATATATATATATATATATATATATATATATATATATATATAACATTTTGTAATAGAAGGTTTGTATCCAATAGTTTATAAATCCTTTATATCAATGTAAAATATTGCTTTTATGAATATGCAAATAGCATGTTTTGGAGTAATGATAATGTAAAATATGAAAGTTTGGGTCTTTCAAAAATACGAAAGTTGGGGTCTTTCAATCAACATCATCGGCCCTTTCCCAAAAGCACCGGAGAAAGTGAAGTTCTTGGTCATGGTAGTCGATTACTTCACGAAATGGATAGAAGCTGAGCCATTGGCATGTATTACTGGAAAAAAATGATTAAATTCATGTGGAAAAACATCATAACAAGGTTTAGAACACCCAAGGTCCTGATCAATGATAACAGGCTACAGTTCCCCCAGAACCCCTTCAGGAACTAGTGTGCAACAAGAGGAATAGAGCAAAGATTCATGCCGGTAGCACACCCCCAAGCCAACGGACAGACAGAGGTGTCTAATAAGACGTTGGTGCATGGAATCAAAAAACGACTTAGCAAAGCAAAGGGCAACTAGGTAGACGAACTCCCGAAAGTCCTCTGGTTGTATCAAACCACGCCGCGAACCAGCACGAAGGAAACACCGTTTAGTCTGGACTACGGCGTTGAAGCGATGTTGCCAATAGAGATGATGATTGGATCGATACGAAAAGGGTACTGTCAGGAGAAAACAAACGACAAAAACCTGAGGGAGAATTTAGACCTTTTGGAGGAACAATGAGAACACTCAAGCATATGCCAGGTCGCGTGCAAAAAAATAGTGGAGGTGTATTACAATAAACGATTCAAACACAAGGCCTTTCGTGTTGGAGACTACGTCCTACAGAAAAACGAGGATGGCAATGTGCAGCCCCGCGGAAAAGTGAGCCATACATGGGAAGGGTCATACAAGGTGGTAGAGGCACACTACAATGGGTCGTACTCTTTAGAGACACCCAAGGGAAGACAGATCCTGAGAACATGGAATGAAAGGAACTTAAGAAAGTTCCACTTTTGAGTGAACCCACAATCTGCTACACAGAAGGGAAGATAGTTATAGTAAAATATCCCCCGACCGGACTGATCACTCGGACCGACAAGTGGACGCTCAGTGTAATCCGATAGGGAACTTTAGTGCATTAAAAACTAGCATGTATCAGGATTACATAATAGCAATAGAAAAAATGCACTAGTTTTAATATGTTATGCACCATGGGCATGTATGATGAAGTAAAAATGAAACACAAGGGATGCTTAGTGAATCCACATGTGCACATGCACATACTTACACACAAAGCAACAAAACAACAAGTTTCAGAATAAAGTCGTAATGAGAAAAATATATATAGGAGGCTAAGCATGCCCAAAATCATAACAAAAAATGCCCAAGAATAAACAAACATGCCTAATCTGTAAAAAAAAAAAAAAAAAAAAAAAAAAAAAAAAAAAAAAAAAAAAAAAATGCAATGCAATGCAAGATAGCACCAAAGCAAACAAAAGAAAAAACAACTATTGCCAATTAATACATAAGCAAAATACCATCATCGTACACAAAAAAAGGCCTTGAAGGCCATAAGTTACTAGGAAATAGAGAAAAACAAAAACAAGGGGAACCACCGGGACTGCTATTGCCATCTCCAAAGGGTAGCTCTAAACAACCTCAAAAACCATCGGGACTGCTATTGCCATCTCCAACATCACTAACTGCCAAACCACCCCCACCATCCGTACAAGTATCATTCCCTCCAGCAAGACCCGCCGCCGCACCCCCATAACATCTTCAGCCTCATCAAACACACATAGCGCCCTCACCCCATCCACATCAAGCTGACCTAACCCAAGTAGACATGCAAAATCCATAGTCGCAAAAGCCAGCAGGGCATCATCCAGAGCTGAGGAATGGCTCGGGTGAGAATCGCTGGCAGATGGATCATATGTCCCAGCATCAACCTGTGCCTTCAAACCTGCTCAACCCGATTCCTCACCTGCAACAAACGCATCATCACGAATGTGGCTGATGCCCCCATCAAATTTAGGGTGTTCTATGAGCTTATCCATCACACACACAAGCCCGACCTAAAGTAGCCAATCGCGATCTACTTTTAATGTCTCCAACTCGCGATCATAGTCAGTAAGGTCGCGTTCCAGGATCTTATTCTGGATCATCAGACCCTCATTGCGTTTGCGTCAGTGACTCCGCACAAGCCTCCAATGAGCTCCGAACATCCTCCAACACTAATTTCTCTGACACCAACGACTTGTTTTTCTGGTCCAATATATGAGCAACAACTTCAAACTCTACCACCTTCCCCTTCAAACTCGCCTCGCTCGCCTGCATGCTCCAAATTGTCAAACCACTGCACATGCCGAGAGCCAGCGGCCAGATAAGCTATGGCCTGCACTGCAGCATAAGCCAGGTTGTAGGCGAGTGCAGAATTGTTCATCACATCGATATCCTCAATAGTAGTAGGAGGAAGGGCATGTTGGGTAAACTCCAAAGCAGCATAATGAACATACAAATGGGAATTTGCATGGAAACTCCACCTCGGAACAAAGACAGAGGCACCACGAAAAGCCCCCGTAGCGGAAAACTCATGGTGCAACCGCTCGACACTATCCCTTGAAGATCAAGGACTGGCACAAGGACTCAAAGCAATCACAATAGGAACATGGGTTGCTAGGATGCCTTTTCAACACCCTCAGACTGTTGAACATCATCACCATCGAGTATTACCAAAACATCTCCATGATAAGACAGCACAGATGATAGCAGGCGCATAAGCCCATGACGCTGCACCACACGCTTGCTAATCTGGCTAGAACTACCCCCGGACACCAACTCACTCATAGCCTCAGCAGCTTTCCGTTTCTCTACAACACGGCAGACATTGTCAATGATCCCATCCTTGATATCCACCACATCCTCAGTTAAAGACTCACCCGGTGGACGAGATATTAGGGCAGGGGACAAGAAAACATCTGGAGTCGGCTGGTCCCCCGTCGTAGAGGAACTTCCCACTGGCTGTGGCGATGACACAACGGGGGCACTCAAGCGACGGGGCAGAGGCAGAACCTCTTGAAGAGGTGCCACCCATTGCTCTAACTTCCCTGGTGCCGCTTTCGTAGGACAGGGTCCATGGAGAAAGAGCATTCAGTACCTGCAAAGAACAACAATGAAAACCTGAAACATTTTTCTTTCTTCCCTCAAACAAATGGGGGGGGGGAGGAAGAAGGAAAGTAAGAACAACTCACCATTATATATAGTATAAAAGACCGACATCTCCCTCTGGGCACGCCAACTGAGACTCATTCTGACGTCGGCAAGCAACACCTCTGATAACACATCAATGTCAACTTGAAGGGTGCGCAAGAGATCGGCGGTTGCCTGGTTATGGGGAAACAATTTAGGAGTAACATCTGACAAAGCATTTGCCCGATGGTACTCCCAACCAAGTAGATCTCGATTAACCCACAACCACCTATTCTGCCATTCCTTGAGCAGCTTGTTGTCAAGAACAAGGTTGTGACCTCCACGACAATCAAAAAAAGTATATTTGTCGTTGGTAGCTGCAAACCGGAAAAAGAACTTGAAGACGAAGAAAACGGGAACAATGTCGTTAGCCCGACATATCATCTCAAAGGCTACCATCTTGTGAACAACACTAGGGGTCAGCATCTGAAAGTTGAAATCTTTGCGACGATGCAATTCTTCTTGAAAGTTGGTTAAAGGAAGACGGAGGCCGGCATCAAAATTATTCAGATAAACGCCCACTTTTCCAGGTGGCGGCGAAGTAATCTCAGCCCCAGCTGTCGGGAACTCTACTCTGTTGGCCGGAGTAAGGCCATCAGCCTCCTGAAGAGTGGCAAACTCGCAAGAATTTGGGACCAAACCCATTTAAGGAAGCCATAAATGAGATATTAGAAAAGAAGAGAATGAAGAAGAAACGAAAGAAGAAGGTAAAAGATCAGGGAAACCTTTTCTGCAAGTTATAGATAGGAAAGAGCGGGATTTTTGAAAATCCCTGACACGGATGATGTAACCACCACGCACATCGAACAGTCACATCGTCGAAAATGAGGCGACGACCAAACAGGGGTGGGACACGTAGACCAGCAGTTAAGTTCAAAACATCATAACTAGCTAGAAAACGCTATGACTACTAGACTGGGGGAGTTAATGACACGCCCCTCAGAGCGGGCCAAGAACAATAGAACCCACAACAAGGAACCTCCAGCTGAGAATCCCCAGCGAGGCCGACCAGGCCCAACTTGGCTGTCCCACCTACTAGGTACCCCAGCAGAACCCCCAGCTGTCAGGCGTCCTAGCAGGACGACCGCGTGGAAGGCCCATTCCCGCCAAAGGCCGCCTTCCACTACAGTCCAAGGATAACGACTCTAAGCGACAAGGATCACATCTAGAGCATTATCACCTGGACCAATCGTTGGACCTGACACAACGAGGAACACAACTCACCGATCAGCACAACGGATCTTGTCGGGACCACAGTCCTTGTTCCTCGTACTGACCGAGGAGGATCCTCAGTATAAAAGGACCACTTTTCTGCCTTGAGAGGTAAGCTATCTCTCTTGATTCTCAGCCTCTTCTCTCCAATACACTTCAAACTTGACTGTCGGAGCATTTTTCCTAGGACCTACTCCCGAAGAACGGCTGGTGATATGTGCATAGTTAGCCATATGTTTACTATAGATTTTTATTCATTTTTAGCTAATTATGTGCATAATATGGACAAAAGGTACTTAATAATGTATAAATTGTGTTTTCAGTCTAGAAGACATGCTTGGAAGCAAAAAAGGAATAAGGACAGGCAATTAGAAACCAAAGAATGAAGAAAAAGAAGATATTTGGATCTACTCAGCGAGTCCACGAAGCTACTTGGCGAGTTCTAGAGAATATTCACGAAGAAAAGTCAAGAGTCCTTGATAAACAGGTATTTTCCACATCTATTCGGCGAGTTTGGGACCTACTCGCCGAGTTGACCCTGTTTTGTGATAAGTATAAATATGGAGCCTTATTCTGAATTAGGGGAATTTTTCTAGCTTTTTGGGAGATACACCTGCAATTGAAGAACCCTTCGGAGACTTGAAGAACCCTAATCTTTGATCTTTTGAAGACTCAAGGCGAATTAGGTTATATTTTCCACTTAATCTTAGGATTTAATCATGACTAACTTTGTTAAATTCGTTTTTGAGCTTGTTTCCACTATAATCATGAGCTAAATTCATGTTGTTTCTGTTTAGGAAAAACCAAGTTACTCCTATGGTTTGATTATTACTTTTCTTGATTGTTTATTGGTGATTTTATTAAATTATGTTTGTTAAAGAACCTTATGCATGAACTATAACTATTTTCTATAAATTGGAAGACAATTAAGCTGCATGGACATTTCTGAATTGTTAACCTCATATGTTTATGTGAACACTTCATCATATGTCTAGGATTAATGAACATGAAACTAGGATTAATTAGAGAATGGGTAAATTAATGTGTGAGCTTGTTTGAGAAACCAACAAACAAGAGGTTAGTTGAGTCACCAACTTGATTAACCAATTACAAATCTTATTTAATCCAAATAAATGAATTAGGGAGTTAATTAGTTTAAACAATTGCCCACTGCTTGAATTGATTAATTTTCTAAGGGTTAGTAATAATGAATATGAATCTAACCACTATAGTTGATAACCAATAACAAATAATTATCATCTTATTATACAAATAACTATAGGAGTGAATTGGTTGGACCTAAACAGAAACTTTCTATCAAATTTGGTGAATTTTTACTTGTTTCTAGTTGTTTAGTTAATCACTTGTTAGGTGGTGTGTTTAAGTTTCTAGTCTTGTAAAACTAGAGAAAAACCCTTACTTTTATTACTTGTTTAGTTAAAAATAGTTATTAGTTTAATTTCCGTTGCTTGAGTTCGACACCCTACTTATCCAACTATACCACTAAAAGATAGGTTCAATGTGTTTGTGTGCTAAATTTATAATTTAAAAGTAGGAATAAAACCAGTGCATTTCACACACATCAAGTTTTTGGCGCCGTTGCCGGGGAACGGTTCAAAAATTAAATCTAATTCCTAATTTTACCGATCCTTTGTGTGAGTTTTTCTTGCACAAAGTTAATTTTTTTAGTAATTCAGTAAGTAGGTTAGGTTTTAGAATTTATTAGTTTTTTAGAAGTTTTTATTTAGTTTTTAATTTTTTTAGTTGAGACAGGCTACTCGCCGAGTGCACTCGCAGCTACTCGGCGAGTACCCTGTTGTTTGACAATTAATTTTTATTTAGTTCAGTTTCATTTTTTTGTTCTTTTTATGCGTTTTTCTTGTTTATTTGCAGGATTTTCATGACCAGAGGATCCAATACTCCACTGGTACCCCCTTTTGAAGACCTAGAATCCGCATTGAGAAAGAACAAAGGCAAAGACGTTGAAAGCTCGAATACACCTAAGAAGTCGCCTTTATCTAGCTTGAAGACTATTTTTGGGAAGAAGAAGGGCATCAAATCAGGAGCATCCAATGCCTCTTTAGCAAGCGAAGACCCGATTAAAGAAGACACCGAGTACGAAACTGAAGAATAAGAAGAAGAACCTACATACGGGCACGACTCCGATTCCAACGATGATTTAGCTATTATCACAGATAACATCGATGAAGTTCCCATGGGGGAATGAAAGAAGAGGATACGTGATGACACTGGCCCGGGACTTGTGCAACCCGCAATTCCCGCAACTGCCACTTTTGAGCTAAACGGTCACATTCTTACTCTACTCAAGGAGATCCCCTTCTATGGAAAAGACCACGAAGATGCTTACAAACACTTGGATGAAGTCACTGATGTAGTGATTATTTTAATGTTCCAAACGTGCCTCGCGAAACTCAGCTACTTCACATTGCAGTTCTCACAACCCACCCGAATAGCAGCTACGTTTGGAACATTAAAATAATCAGCTACATCATTGGCCACCATTCATGCTTTGGCTGATTTGGGAGCAAGTGTGAATCTCATGCCTTGTTCGTTTTTCAAGAAATTGGATCTCCCGAAACCAAGGCCAATTCGAATGGCAATACACTTAGCAAATAAAACAGTCACATTTCCAAGAGGAATATGTGAAGATCTATTGGTGAAGGTAGATAAATTCGTGTTTCCGATGGATTTTATAATTCTAGACATGGAAGTAGATCCTCAAGTCCCGATCATCCTTGGAAGACCTTTCCTTAACATGGCAAGTGCTATAGTGGACATGAGAGACTTGAAACTTACTCTATGGTTGGGGGATGATTCAGTCACTTTCGGGGTTGATCAAGCTATGAAGCATGCGAGGAATAGTGATGACACAAGGTTTTCAATTGACATGTTGGATGAATTGATGGAGGAATAGGATAATGAATATCCAAACAAGTCCACCATCATCTTTGATGAAGAACTTGATGTTGAAAAAGACCTACTGGAAATTGAGAGACTGTTGGAAGAAGCTGATTATGAGGAATTAATGAATAACTTTGAGCACTCTACTCGCCGATTAGACTCGATCTACTCGCTGAGTCCAGTTGAAGAAACCTGAGAATTCGTGAATTCTGCAGAGGACTCACCGAGTCCCTTACCTGTACTCGACAAGTATAACATGCAGAACGCAAAAACAGAGCTCAAAGCACTACCAGATCACTTGGAGTATGCCTTCCTTGAAGATGGTCATCGAAAACCAGTTATAATAACTTATGATCTCTCCAAATCTGAAAAAGAAGAATTAGTTCAAGTCTTGAAGAAGCGAAAGCGGGCCATTGCATGGAGCATTACCGATATCAAGGGAATAAGCCCATCTTATTGTTCTCACAAGATTAACTTGGAGGAAGGAGCAAAGCTGGTTGTGCAACACAAAAAAAGATTGAACCCAAACATGCAAGAAGTGGTCAAGAAGGAAGTAGTCAAACTCTTAGATGTCGGGATCATTTATTCTATTCCCGACAGTCCGTGGGTGAGTCTTGCCCAAGTGATGCCCAAGAAAGGAGGGATGACGGTCATAACCGACGAGAAGAACGAGCCTATTCCGACACGAACGGTAACCGATTGGTGAGTGTGCATCGATTATCGAAAGCTAAACGATGTCACTCGTGAATACCATTTTCCTTTACCTTTTATTGATCAAATACTAGAAAGATTATCGGGCCATAGTTATTATTATTTCTTAGATGGATTTTCGGGTTACTTCCAAATACCCGTAGACCCAATGGACCAAGAAAAGACCACTTTCACTTGCCCAAGTGGGAATTTTGCCTATCGTCGCATTCCCTTTGGGTTATGCAATGCACCTGCGACATTTCAAAGGTTCATGACGGCCATATTCCATGACATGGTGGAAAAATTCATGGAAGTATTTATGGATGATTTTTCTATTTTTGGATCTTCCTTCCATGATTGTCTCACTAACCTTGATCTAATGCTTGCAAGGTGTGAAAAAACCGACTTAGTCCTTAATTGGGAAAAATGTCACTTTATGGTCAACGAGGGTATAGTTTTAGGCCACAAAGTTTCCAAATCGGGAATTGAGGTGGATTGGGCAAAAATAGATACAATTGCCAAGTTACCTCTACCAACTAATGTGAAGGGCATTAGAAGTTTTCTAGGTCACCCGGGTTTTTACCGGCATTTCATAAAAGATTTTTCTAAAATAGTTAGACCTCTAACACAATTGCTTTTAAAAGATGCACCATTTAATTTTACTAAAGAGTGTTTAGAGACCTTTGAATTTTTGAAAGAAAAATTAACTAATGCCCCAATCATTATTGCCCCGAACTGGGATTTACCATTTAACATAATGGGTGATGCCAGTGACTTTGCATTAGGAGTTGTCCTTGGTCAAAGGGTTGATAAGCACTTTC